TTTCAAAATAAAAATTATTCAGATTCTCGGATATTTTTAGTTATTTTTTATACAAATTAATTTAATTAATTAATTCAAATAATTTTATTTATACTTGTTTATACATACATATTTTATACAAAATTAATTTATTAAATTTTCTCATATTATTTCGCTTTGATGTGAAAATACTGTAGTATTACGAGATAAAGTTTTGTATTGACCGCAACGACCGCACTCGACAATGAACATGTTTGCTCTTCGCTGGAAATTATTTAGGTAAATAATATACAGTGAAACAGGATATTTAAATCAGGGATTTACATTTAGTTTGCTGAACATTTTAAGCAAATGCAAAGTACGTTTTGTTTCACGTTTATTTTCCGCAAATAATAACATCTAAACTAAAACAACGATATTTTTATTTCTGTTGCAATTTATCTAGTTAATTAGATCACTTTTATTTTATTTGATTTTTTTTTTCAAAATGTCAAAATTATAATACCAATTAATTAATTTGTAATAATATACTATCTCTGTTCTAAATACATTAAAATGTCAAAATTCTGATGTCAAATTAATAATAACATAACATACAAATAATGTCAAATTATTATTTCAAAATGTCAAAATTCAGATGTCAAATATTATTTCAAGATGTCAAAATTTTGATGTCAAATTAATATTTCAAATTGTCAAAATCCTAATGTCATATTATTTTGATTACTATGAGAAATATTGCATTAATATGATAAGAAACATAAGTAAATACAGCAACTAATACCAATATTTTTTTTTATTTGGAATAAGATACTAACGTATATCTAAGTTCTAAACATATTAGAATTAGTATTCATAAAATAATGTTAATTATCTAAAAAAGGGATAAGCATTAATTAATTCTCCGCAAAAGATTAAAACTGCAGAATCGTGAGATAAAAGGATTCTGCGGGGTCGCAGTTATCTCCTGCAAAAAGACCTTCACCCTCGTAAACTCGTTCGAAGAAGTAAAGGAAGTTTCCTTAAAAATTTAATGAAATTCCCCATCCCCATCAGACGAAATTATAAAATTTTAAAACTTCCATCCAGTACAGAAAAATGCTCAAATTTGACTAACTAATCTTCTAAGACGTGTGCGAAATCGACAACAACAAAGAAAAATATAAATAACATCTCGTATCACAATTTCATACATATTTAAGAGAT